TTTCTTAAATCTTTCTGCTCTATCATTCCATTTCTCTCTGATCATGACTAAGTTGAAATACTGGTGTGATAATTATGAAGATGGGTTTCTAGAGAACTTATTACTAGATAGATGCAGAAGTTTCATGCAACAACATGGAAACAGTTTGGAAAGGAATGTGGATATCATCTTGTTTAATGTATCTCTTAGTGAAAGAATATTTTCTACCACATCCTTGAGTAAAATAATCAATGTTTAAACACATATTATGACAACTACCTTACTATTATTCTAGTTAACCAATCTATTATTGTTATACTCCAGTTAGTATTAGAAAGTTTTTTTTTTTTTTTTTACTGGGGATACAACTCACGACCTTGCATTTGCTAGGCAGATACTTGTTCTGCTCAGTTAAACCCCCAGCCCTAGAAAATTATTTTACTTAATGCTTTTAATTTCCTCTATCCATTGATCCTAGTTTTTCCTAGAACCATACAAGTGAAAAGTTCTTTCATTTTCATGAATAAAACTTTTTATAAGGGTATCATATGTTATCTTCACAGTTTTATAAACTGTGATGTTTATAAAGTCTTACTCTTAAATGATTTTCTGAACCTCTATATCTTAATTTTTCTTGTAGGATCAAACTCTTGTGTTTACTAGCATCTAGAGCCAATCTTTCAGATAATTATATCCCTGAATATGGTCTACATATTTCCTCTTAAAATAAAACTACTTCACTTTGAATGTCTATTCTGGCCACTTAAAATTCTCATGCAACTTTCATGCAAATAATTTAAGATAAATCCCTTATTTTCTAGGAGTTTAGATATATTTTATTAGATTCTCCCCATCTCTTTTTCATGTGTTTACTGTACAATAACTCAGATCTCAAGAAAACAGGACTTTTCGTGAATATAAGCAGTCCAATCCAGTGCCAGTATCATTTCTTAGGTCAGATAGCAAGGAAGTATCAAATATCTCAAACTTCCATTTCCAAAGAAAAGTGACATTGACTAACAAGCTCGGATTATGATACAGCTAAAGCTGTTAGCTTTTAAAAAAAATCACCTTAAAATTTAGTGGCACGAATCAGTGTTATTCTACAGGTTGCAGTGTTGATGTGGTTTGGCTGCTTTCTATAGTTGCTGGTGACTGGGCTGGAGTGAGTAACAGAATGGCTTCAGTGACATATCTGCTGGTTGGCTCTTCAGAGTTTCTCCATATGGTTTCTCTAGAAGTCCAGATGGAGCATGCTAAATGGCGGCAAAGGGTTTCCAGCAGCAAATGAAAGCAAGTCTAAAAGCTCATATACATTTTCAAACCTTGATTATATCACTTTTGCTTTTATCCCATTGACTGGAGCAGGCCACATTTAACAAGACTGGATTCAAGACAGAAACAGATTACACTTCTTGAGAAAGGATCATTAAGACCATGTGGAAAGGGTGTGCACACAATGAAGCGTGACCATATTTGTGGCAGTAACCTACTGAAGTACAGAACTTTGATCTCATGTAATCCTGGCTTTTTGCCTTAGTTAAATGTACTCACTGATCTGAAATCTTTTTGGGTGGGATGATTGCATGACCAAAGTCAGTGCATATTGGTTTAAGACCTCTCATGCCCATAAAATTTGTTGGTAGCATAATTTGGTTTTGAAAGAACATATTTGAGAATCTTAAAGTACTAAACCTTTTTCAGATTTCTTCAGTCACACACCATCATTTTCTTCAATAATTTTTTAACATTATCAGTGACATTTTGTGATACTCTTGGTCGACTGATCATATCTTTACCTTCAGCCTCACAAGGTGTCACTTGTTCCTTAAATTTTATTTTTTTCATAAAGGAAATATAGAAGTTACATCCATATAATTTTTAAATTCATATATTGGGCACTACTGCTATTTGAATGATATGAAAAGTCATAGAGAAGTAAGTACAATGAAAATTTCACTCTTAAAACTTAGAGTCAATTACAGAGAGGAAACTTTTGAGGGAGGCAGGCAAGAGTCAACCTTACTTTACAGACATTCATGAGTTTATAGTCAATCTTTATAATTCCATAGATTTAAATGTACTATCAAAATTAGCCCAAAATTTCATCATTCTCAGTTTTGCCATCCTCTGTATAGTCAGATACTTGTAATACGCTTGGTAGGTCCATTATTTTAATAATTTGTTAAATACGTTAAAATTTGAGTCTTCAATTGATACTTTGAACTTGAACACAAGGTATGAAACATTTATATCTGTAAAAGTTGCCCACAAGTTAAATCAGGACATATATAAGGCCAACCAAAAAGACCAAGAGAAGCCAATTTTTCTATATCTCAATTTATGTACATATTATTAATTATTCTAAATATGAATAAAGAAAAAATATATTTGTGTAAAACTGATGCTTTTTTATTTGAATTTAAAGATATACAATATATCTTTGTATATTATAAGATCTTATCTTAGAAAACAAATAAAAATAAAGAATAAAATAAGACAAATGAAAGTTAATCTTATTTTACAATATCTGTTATACATTTTGGCCCTCATTTACAGTTGTGGTTTTTCACACTGGAGAATAGAAATTTTAATGTGTCCATTTACAGTAGAACTTGAAATTAGCATGTCAGTTATAAAAAACTTTGGTTGCTAATAAACTCTATTTCTGTTTTTAGGAGCACAAAAATTTAGTGTTTTACAACCACTAGAGGGCTCTCACTAAATAAGAAAATATTAAGTACATAAACTTCATGAAAATAGGAGAAATCATTTATGATGTATCTTTTCTTAGAGCCTGATTAAAATGATGAAGTCTTAGATATATTAACTATTAATTAAGCTTCAAATACAGGGTTCCTTTAAGAAAAGGAATGAATAGGAACGATTTTAAATTGACTATTCAAAAGCTAAAAACAAACACCATAAATATTTTACTGTTTGGGCTTACTTCTGAATCAGACATTTATACCACTCGTTTATCTTTTGAGTGGGAAAGTGGAAATAGAAAGTGAATATATTTTCTCTGAGAATTTCTGGCTCCCAGGACCTATTCTCTATAAACATCTAGTTTGTTACCATGATGTTGCATATGATTACAACTGAGCAAACATCTCACACAGGGATTTGCCAGAGTAAAGCTTTTGAGCCAAGCTGTAAACTTCCTTATGCTCAGGTGGGCTCAGGATGCACAGTGCTGTGGTTTGGCTTTGTTTTTAATCACTTCTTGGATTCCCAGTTTGATTGAGCTTAGCCCAAGATGCCTTTCTCTCCAGAAACAAAAATTAAGCTAACGACCTGGCCATATGTTTGGTCCTGATGGTGGTTATTCTCTGGGCTAGATTCAAACAATCAATATAATAAATAAAATGGAGCAAGCCATCTGTCTAGCACCAGCCCTAAAAGGCCAAAGGAGGGCTTCACTGTGCTCTTCCTCTCTGGGTGTGACCTTGCAGGGAATCAGCAAGGCTGAATAATTGTGGGCTCCAGGGGACAGGGTGCTCATCCATCTGTTTTGATTTCAGCACCATGCCTGAGTCACACTGCCCATCTGAGGCATTGAGGAAGCTGGATTAGAATCTTGTTTTCCACATTAGTCTCAGGGGTGCCCTGGAGGTTCCTTCAGTCTTTTCTCAGGGGAATACCCAATGACTAATGTGAGAAGGATTTCAAACACTCTTCCAAATGTAAACTGTATCCTCCTCTCTACTAAAAGAAACAAAAAGATTCCGCTCTGGGAAATGTTAAGACGCATATCTACAATTCTTCTCATCAGCATTGTGTGATTTCAATTTGTCTGGCAGTTGGACCATATCGCTAGTCTCAGGGGGAGGAGTGGTGATGTACAATCAGGTGATCAGGTCTCTTGGCATAGCCCCAGGGCTTCTTACAATTAGTCTTTTGAAAAGCTTAGAAGGAGCAATCTGACCAGTCACTGAGCAAATAGAAAGCATCCTCTGTGAGTATGAAGCTGTGCACCACTCTAAAGAGCCGAAGATTGTAAACATAAGCCTCAGCACCTAGGTATACAGTTTATGGAGTGTGGCTGGATGGGGTGTGGGCTGGGCTGTCTTTTTGCACACTGCTGTACATATGCTTTGCTGGTTGTGTTATGTATTAAATTAATGGTAAAAAGGAGTTTATTTAGAAGAAGGAATGATGGAGAAAAAAGAGGGCAAGAGAGAGCGAGCGAGAGAACTTCAAGTAGAACAATGTAGGGTGGTTTCAGGAAAGAAGTAGTGTTAAGCTATGCTTTGTGAAATGAATATGATTTCACCAATGAAGAGTGCCTATGTGGCCCACATTTCATGCCACATTTTCTCCTAGCACAGCATTCTTAAACCAAGTCTTGGCTATACATTCTTGTAAAGTTCTTTGACTCTTGCTAATGAAGTGTGGTTCAAATCAGCTCTAGGAAAGATTTAGGTGATGAAATGCAAAATCAGAGCTCTCTAGGCTCTCAGTGAATTTCCTGAAGTCCAATTTAAAGCGGTGCAAAGTCCTCAGTGTCTAAGGAAAATGTTCCTGTTAGGCTTTTGTAACGCACAGATGAGCTCACTGCTGATTGTAATCAGTTTCCTTGCTATCTATCTATTCTGTGGTTACAAAATCAAAGGCTAAGAGACCTCACAATCCATCATAGATGGAAAAGTCCCTCCTTGTTTAAGATCCTCAGATGTCACACATTTTTAAGGGGTGCTGTGTTGTGGAGACTGAATTGACTTAAGCCTAAGTTTTGAGTCTCCTGGTTTTTCCCTGGGAGGCTGCATAGAGGCTGTGAGAAGGTAACTGAAAGCCTGGGGATGCAGAGTTCCTGGGCAACTGCTTCTTGATGAGAATTGAGCTCCAGACAGTCTATTGTGTTCTGTCACTGGGAAAATAGGGCAAGAACTACATGTTCAGATTTTTACAAGTTAGCATAAGAAATAAATCACCTCCCTTCTGTCACTAACTGGAAGCACTGATGCAGAATGACACTGTCTCTCAGTTGTTTTTCAGGAAAAGGTACAATAAAATGATCAGTCCTGGAGATGCCAAATTCCTTCTATTCTTTTTCTTTAGGGAGGACAGAACTCAAATTAAAAGGTGATTATTCACAATAGTCCTTCAAGGTCACTTTTTCCTTTAGGTTCAGAAGAACATATTTCAAAATATGCTGTGACTCATACTGTAATGTTATTAGAAAATTGAAAAAAAAGTGAAGTGTTCAGTTATAAGCATATATTTTTTTCTGTAATGGAAAGCTTGATACATTTTCCTGGTACATTTGTCTATTACTGAACAGTTTAATATTCATGAAGTGCCTAATTAATAAATGAATGAAAACTTATCACTTGTTCTGCTGACCGGGTTGTTCAGTGACTTCAGGAGCCATGCAAAGAAACTTGCAATAGAGGTAAGTACTGTATAATATCAGTATTCAGTGCAATATTTTTTATGCCATAAGTAGAATGTGATTAGAGGAGAAATACTGGAGTTATCAGGAAAGGACTTCTTGGAGTAGTAGAATTTTAGTTTTTCATAGTGCATTTCCACATCTCTCTAACTCATCTTTTTTGCACATTTTAGTTAAGCACTCTATGTTTTAGTTTTCTGATTTATGTAAGAAAACAATAGTCTGTGATCTGTTCGATGAAACTAAATGGCTTTCTTTTGGGTTTCTAGAGCCAGGCTGTGGTAGAAAATGAAACCAGGAAACATAGTCTCTATTTCTCACCAGTATTGAAAATTGCCCCAAAGACTTTAAAGCCTCCAGAATGAAATCTTTTCAACTTACTTTTGTGAAACTTAAATCATTCTTTTCTGAGAATTTAGGCTCACTGTTCTAGAAAACACTGCAATAACTTTTGTGAATGTAATTTTTGTAATGTTAGATTACTTTTTTAGAGAAGTTTTCAAAGTGAGATAAGTGTGGTCAAGAACACAAACATTTTAATGCGTTCCAGATTGGGAGCAGAGGCACGGATATTTTTAATACAATAAAGATTGAGCTGTTAGTGTTCTCTGTCATTTCACTTTAAATAAACTGGAATCAAAATTTACTCTTTTGTATGGGTTATGCAGTAGGCATCTAAGGCTATCATAATGAGATACTGTAGACAGGAGAACTTATACAACAGGTCTGGAGCCTGGAATTCCACAATGAGGTGGTTAGGTTTGGTTTCTCCTGAGGCCTTTCTCTTTGGCTTGCAGAAGCTGCCTTTTTGCTGTATTCTCAGACGGCCTTGGTGTCTCTTTCTTTCCTAAAATAATCACTAATATTGTTAGGTTATACTCCCAGTTTAATGATTTCATTTAATCTTAATTATCTACCTGAAAGCCCTATTTTCAAATACGGTATGTCTCAGTGCATTTTGTTTTACTGTAACAAAATATTTGAAGCTGAGTATTTTATAATGAGAAGAGGGCTATTTAATCTCGCAGCTCAGAAGGTTCCACAGCATGGCTTTGGTAGGTTTTAGTGAACAACCTCATGGTACATGGCATCATAGTGACAGAAGCTCATGTGGAAGAGATCATAGGAAGCTGGACAGCAAGGAGGATCAGGCTTGCTCTTTTCATAGCAATCCACTCTCACAGGAACTAAACCTCACCTATGGATCTGACCTACTCCCAAAGACCATATTCATCCATCCATGAGGGTAGAGCTCCTATAATCCAATTGTCCTTCCAATAGCTCCTACCTTTTACATTCTCTATTCTCTCAACACCAGCACATGGGAACCTAGCCTCCAGTGCATGGATCTTTCAAAACAAACCATATCTAAACCATAGCACAGTCACACTGAGTGTGAGGATTTCAGTGAATTTGGGTCGGGGTAAAGGTCATACTTTAGCCCATCTTCCATATGATTTTTTTGAGTTTACTTCTACTTTGTGCAGTCGGACTGCCGTGGGTTATTACTGGCTCATAGCAAAATAACCAGGATGTAGAACCTCATTGTCTTCTACTGTGACTCCACTTACATCAGATATATCAGGACTTTAACATCCTGAAAGAGCTACCTTGAGTTGCTAGGTAGACTTTGTTCTGAACACAGAATTCTTCTTCCTTCCTCTTTCCCCTCTTTCTCTGTCTGGGAAGGTAATTGTTTTCTCTTTTCTTTTAAAAGAATTATCTGCAAATTCCTTTCTCTTAAGGAAATATCTTCTGTCTGCAAATAGCCAACAAATTATTCTTCTCTGCTAAATATAGAGCCCTTCCTAAAAGACACTCTGGCCATAGGTATTAATAAATAATATCCATATTTACATTAATGACCCATGTTTTGCAAAGTTTTAATTTTACCTATAGAAAAAGTTGCTTAAAAACATCAGTAGCTTCAAGGAAAGCATAGTACATACTAGTTCTAGGGTTTTGTTGTGTGTGTTTTAGTTAATCATTTCTGTTTTAGTTTTCATTATTCTTTCCTCTAGATTTTTTGGGATACTTTTTATGTTTACTGTTCAATTACCTGAACTGAATTATTAATTAATCTGTCTTTCTTAAGGAATAAAACTCATGGATGTCAATTTATGTCTTATAATGATTTTCATGGTGTGCTGCAATTTGCCTGAACGTATTTAAATTTGTTATCATTAGAATAGGTGATAATTTCAATTTTTTTATTCTGACATAAGATTTCTTTGGGAAAATTTGTTAATTTTCAAGAAGTAAAGTGTTTTACTTTAGGTATTAATATGCATTTTTTTTTGCATTGTGACCAGACAATATGATCAATAAAATGGTTATCATGTAGAACTTAACTGATATTTTTGGTAGTCTAATAGCTGGTGAAATTTTATATAATTTTATAGACTTTTACAAAGAATATATAGTTTATCTTTTGCACACATATGTACATATGTATGCATCAATACTATAGATTAAAATATTGTATCTTAAATATATAATTCTTACGTTAATCTATTTTCATAGAATAGAGTGAACTGTTGACATCTGCTATATTTTGATTTTGTCAATTTGGTTTTGTATATTTGGAAGTATAGAATATGTTTGTGACGTGTTTATCCTCATTGTGATTTAATCTTTTCTTGTTGTAGTATAATCACCTCTATCTAATTAATACTTTTGACTTGCATTCATTGCTGTGTATGAACATATGGATGGCCTATTTCACATATCCCAGCATTTTATCGAGTTGTTTAATTTAATTTGTCTCATATTTGTTTGTTGATTTAAATTTTTGTTTTGTTTTCTTGGTAATTTTAAGTGTCTCTTTTATAAACAAAAATATAATTAGACTTTCTATTTTTGATACAATCTGTGAATGTTTTTGGGAACAAGGGATTTAAACTTTTATATTTATTGTCTTAGAACTTTTTTTTCTTACCATTGTCATTCCGCTTTGTGACTTGTTTTTCAAATATATATATTTATAAATATATATAAAATCTGTCTTTTTTGAAGTTTAAGGGATCAAGGAAGGAGAAAGCATGTGCATGTGTGTTAGGTGTTAACTGGAACAATAAACTGATACTGTCATAAGAATTGAGTGCTCTGAACATTGTTTACTGACTGAATGCTGCCGCTGTTGCTCAGTTTTCCAGTGTTAGAAGTTTTCCCTGTATAATGAATGCAGTTTAACTTGTTTCCTGATCATTTTTCATTGTCATCTATTTACGAACTATAGGTATATCAGTGATTTATGCATAAAAAAGAATAAAATGGTTTTTCTTTCCTCACTACTCCCAGGGGTCAATTTTCATTGTCTTGGAGCCAGTATTGCCTTCATTGACAAAATGCATATTGTACAAAGAGATAAATTTTTACCACTCATTTCTAAATGAGCAGGGATGGCAATGTATTCTGAGGGCATTTGCCACTCTCAACCCCATGGCTTGGCATGTTAGAGGAATGGTTGTGGAGCATTCAGTCATATTTGCCCTTTCTGGTGTAGCGTTTCCTTTTAGCACGTGGTGTGTGAGTGTTACCCTTTCTGTTTTCTTTTTCCAGGGGAAATCGGTGGATAAAAGTTTTAGACTCATAGATTTATGTTACTTTCTTACCCTGGAACCCTATAATCTTTCCTAGGAAGATTCTATAATATTCAAGAAAGGCATTAGGATGAAACTCAGCAGGTGCTTTTTTTCTTTCTTTTTTTCAGAGAGCTGTATAATTTGTCAGGAGAAATAGGAGCACTGTAAGTTAGGCTTGAAATAATAATTTCATTGGAATGTCAGTTCCTCTGTACACTGAATGTCACATTTCATGACAGAACACAAGTGGCAGCTTAAGGTGTACATTATGTTAAATGTTGTAAAATGTACAGGTGGCCAACTGTATTTTCCATCTTTGAAGAGTGCTAACACTTCATGATCCAGATATTTTTTCATTTTTTTTCTCTTGTTTTTCTTAGAACTCCACTGAAAGTGTGGTGAGGAAGTGAGACCAGATTTGTTTACATTATGCTTGGCACACTTACGGTGGACCGTACTGTTGTTGCCTTGGCAGTGTCCAAACCCCTGTCTGCCTCCACGTTGGAAATTAGAAAGTCATACAGCTAGATTCAGGCACTGACCTGTTGAGAAAACGCTTTGTCTTCAGCTGTTGCTATATTCAGAAGATGAAGTGCATGTGGGTGGGAGTAAAGTTCACACTTTGTAGTAAGATTACTTAAATATAAAATATAATTGAAATGTGTTTCTTCAAATGTTTTAAGGAGTTTTACAAAGTTTTAGAAGTTTGTGATTCTTTTGATCTGCCTATATTTTTGTATTTACTTCCTTTCCAATTTTGAAAGAAAATTAATGAAAATTTATGTAACTTTTCCCTGAAGACTTTCTTTTTCTTTCTTAGTAAACAGTACACATACCACTTGTCATTTTGGTTTTGAAGTAAGAAATGTTGCTTCAGTTAATGGTGACATTTTATCTACTTTCCTGTCTTTTTCCCTTTCTTTTTTCATTGTTCCCTTATTTATCTTCTTTCCAACCAGGAAGTGTGTATTTTATTTTCGTAGATAAAACATAAATTAAATGAAAGGAACAGCAAAAATTGATGGGGATATTCACCTCTGTAGTATCTTAGAAACACTCTCTTCATCTTTCTCCCTTCTTGGACCTTATGGTTTTTACTCACTGATACATCTCTACCTTTAGCTGGAAAAGGGGGAAAATATAGTGAGGAGTTAAATTTTAAATTTTGACTCTTGTATCAACTGCTGAACCATAAGCTCTAGTTTGCAATCACTTACTTTCCATTAAGTAATTCTGATTAGGATTCAAATAAGTATCAGTGATTGTGATGAATGCTGTCTGTTTATCAGAATGGAATAAATATGGGGTCCTATCAACAACTCTGTCATAAATGAAGAGTGTGAAAGAAAATCGACCAGAACACTGTGATCATAAGTCTTTTTTTGGTAAAGTCAATGAGAGGAGGATCAGAAGGAG